TTTTTTGGACCTGCCCCGTCCTATCGTGGTAGCGTGGGTGAGAGGGAGCATGGCTGAGTTTGGGGAGGGGGCGGGGATCCTGGTGGTTCAGAGCTAATGATGCCTGTCCTATGATGTGTTCTGTGGTGTTTTGTTCTGCCATGTTTCTCAATGTCCTACGATGGTACCCGCTGCCTTGTGTGTCACCTGCCGCCCTGCGCTGTGGTCCTCCAGGCGGAGAAGGTGCTGCTCTTCAGCCAGGACACCAACCTGACGGCTCTGCTGCTGGAGGCCAAAGATCTGGAGGCCCGAGTCATCATCCTCTCCGCCAGGTGTGTGATCAGGGTGGCTGTGGGTGGGTTCCAAGGTATTACTGAGGTGTTACTGGGCATCCGCATGGATGTTTGTGCTGATTGCATTTGGGTTGGTTTCTGTTTGGAGGGTGCAAGGGGTTAGTTGTAAGAGAGGTTTGTGGAATACGGGGGGGTTTTGGTGGTCCCTGACCCCTTTACTGAGAGGTCAGACAATGAAAATCTGAAAATGAAATTTCAGAGGGGTCTCAGAAATGTTCCTGATTACTTTCTATTTATCCACGCAGTAGGATTGATTTGCCTGTAACTTTATAAATGCTTAATTGTTATCTACAGATACTTTAGTCTGGCTCAGCTCGTCAGAACATGCAAAAACATATGCACAGTGTGTCCCTGTGGTCACACGTGATGTCTGTGAAACGTGATCACTTGAATAGTGAGTGACTTTACCTGTTGTCAGTAATGCCTGCAGCATGGCTCATGAACCGTACACAACGGGGATGGAGGCAGCTGGAACCTCAAAGTACTTAGAAGATGTAAACATTAAAAATGCAGAACAAGAACTGGACTAAAACTAGCTAAAACATCATACGACTCAAATTAATAAGCAATTTTATGTGTGTGTGTGTCTGTGCAGTGAGGATGAAGCTGCAGCTGTGTACAAAGCCGCCCGGCAGCTCAACATGACTGGCTCTGGTTACGTCTGGTTGGTTGGAGAGAGAGAGATGACTGGCAAAGCTCTGAGTGAAGCTCCAGATGGTACATCACACTCTGCCTGCTCTTCATTGTTCTTCGTCCTCACTGGTCTTCCTCACTCTCCCCCTCCTCTGGGGGTTTCTCTCTGTCTCTCTCCAGTTCTGTTTCCATCCAAATCTTAGCAGAGAGTTTTGTAAAAGCTGGAGAGAAAGAAACAAGTCAGAGCACTGATGTTATTTTAGACATTGAACCTTGTTACCTGCAGAGAAAATAGATGAACATCTTCAGGAAGTGATTTTACATTTCTTTTAACTCCTTGTCTTTGCTTGTGTTTGTACTGGCAGCGTTGATAGTGAACTACATTCAGACATTTCAGTTTCAACTAAATTCGACCTGGATTTTTTGTTGCAGTGTATTTATTTTGTGGTGACACCAAAATAGTTCACAGTAAAAAGGTCCAACCTTATTTTCCTCCTATATTTGTACTTGAGGTCAGATTATAAGAAAGCATGGGTTGCCATTTCACTGTTAGGCTGATGATATCCAGCCCTATTTATTTATTTTTTGCCAAAGCAGAGCGACTCCAGGTCCATGGTCACTGATTGCTTTGAGAATGTCGAGACTTGGTTGTCACACAATGTTTTACATCTTAATGAAAATCAAACTCGGTGGACATATCCAATGCAGATTTTCATCTTTGGATGCCTTATATAAAATCTCACGCCAGAAACTTGGGCATTATATTCAGGCAAGTTTCTTCCAGTTAAGACTTTTGTCTAAAGTTAAACCATTTTTGGCAAAACAGGATTTAGAGAAGACTGTTCATGCATTATTCTCCAGCAGGCTGGACTACTGCAGTGCCGTATATTTTGGTATAAATCAGTGCTCTCTTATTCAGTTGGTCCAAAATGCTGCTGCTCGTCTTTTAACTGGGACGTGTAAGTATGAACATATTACACTCCGGTCGCTTGTCTGCATTGGCCACCTGTGATTTTAAGAATCAAATTTAAGACTCTTATAACTTTCAAGGCTTTACATGGCTTAGCCCCAAGTTATATAACAGATCTCTTAACTCTCCAGAGGCCCTCACGATCTCTTAGGTCTGCAGCTTCTCTTAGCAGTGCCAAAACTGAGGTTAAAAATAGGAGTGATCGGGTTTTCTCAATTGTGGCCCCCGATTGGTGAAATGAGTTACCCCAGTGTGTGAGGATGGCGCCCTCCTTGACAGCTTTTAAAACTAATCCTAAGACTTATTTTTATTCTATGGTGATTCATTAAATTTAAGAGTGGCCCAGTAAATTATAGTCACCAGAGATAATGAGGATCTCATTATCTCAGATGTCCCTCTGTAAATCCAATGAGAATCAGAGGACAACTGGCTGCAGAACCTGCCTGAGAAACTCCAGTTTCCTTCAGTACCACAGTGATCCAGTGACAGTCTTCTATACATCCTCTGGGTCACTGCACACAGGAGCTGCTCACTGCTCATTCTGCTGGTGTTACTGGAGATAGTCTGAGTACAGTTTAGTTTGAGGCAAGGCGCTGCATTGTCCGCTTTAAAGTCCCTTGTTCTTAGGTGATCAAAAAGGTGTTGCAAGGGCGTTGCTGCTTGTATTGCACATCTGAGAGCACTGTCTTTAAAATGTTTGGATGGAAACATGGTTGCTCTCTATTTTCTGTCTCGCGCTCTGTCTGGTAGCGCTGTAGGTCTCTGATGAAGGAAGCCAATCCTCATCATAGTCAGTTAACTTCTCAGCGTCCTGGTGTGTTTCTCTCTCTGGTTTCTTATGACTGTTGGTTGAACATTTAAACATTTAAAAAGAAGAAACCAAAAACAAAACATGTTTAAAGGTTCCTAACCACTCTTTTCTCTCCGGGCTCACTGTAACTGTGGCTTTAAATGTGTCTAACATCTTTTTGTTTGTTTCATTTTCTATAGTGTGTGTCAT